TTTGTGTGTCGGTTACGGGAGCGTACGGGAGTACTCTAGTAGTATTTCCCCATACTTTTATTTTGAGAGAGCTTTGGAGTCAGTGTTTCTTTTATGAAGTGATCGACCGAGCTTCATATGTCAGCGTTTTCTTTCACGAAGCAATTAAGGGAACTTCGTAGACTACCTAATAAAGTGTGTCGGTAACAGACCACTGCTAGGTATGTTTTGTGTTATATTGCTGGATAGGGTGCGTCTGGGGGTGAAATACCTCATGTATTCAGGCCACTGCTCGGCAAAGTTCGATGTTGGGATAGGTAGAGTCCTCATGATAGTCAGATCACGCCTAGGCATTGTTATCTAGATAACTACCCCTGACTTAAAATGTCTTGTGGTTCTTTCTTTTACGAACGAAGGTTCGTGGTGAAACTTATTCTATTCCCCTCAATTGATGTCTTTATTGATCCTCGTTTGCTGCCAGGGAATTTCCGAAGCAGCTTCGTCAGTTTGTGGTTCATATCGATTCCTTAGGCTAGATCTCATAAGATCATTGTATAGGGTCAGTATGTGTGGATCGACGGGATGGGATATATGGTTTTAGAAATATAATTTATATGTATTTATAATATTAGTAGTTTTGTAGGATCGAGATATACTTTATTATCACGTTGTTTGAACTAAGAGCTTTCATACTCTGTGTTCCTTAGGTAATTGGGTTCACCAGGGATATTCGAACTAAGTGTTCGTTAGATATCTGAACTTAGTGTTCATCAGGAATATTTGAACTAAGTGTTCATTAAGTGTTTATGAACTAGGTGTTCATTAGGTATTATTAGAACTAAGTGTTCATTAGGTGTTCTTGAACTAGGTGTTCATTAATTATTGTGAATTGCGTGTTCACCAGAGGTGATCTAAGAACCATGGCAGCACTAGACTTTGTGCCAATTCCTTAGGGCAATCCTTAGGAATTAATGAGAGAATGGTAATCGGTTCTTAGGGTAAATGTTTACTAAATAAATGGAGATAAAGGGGGTGGGTAATTGGATTGATTATTTGATAATTAAATATAATTATTATATTATTGTGGGTTGAAAACCCTATATGCTCACCAGGCTCCCAAGTCTGACCCTCTCAGTTTTCTTTGTATTACAGGTTATGGCACGAGAGCATAAGTTGGCTGACATAACGAGAGATTTTGGATTATAGGCTAGTAGTTATGAATAACTGTTTTAAGATCTATTTTGTTCTGTTTATGCTTATGTGTCTGTATCGGAACATGACATCCCGAGATTTTGTTATATAATGAAAATACATTTCTTTAAAGAAATGTTGTGATAAACTCTTATCATATTTTGTTTTGGGAACAAATTCTGCAACTGTTTTCTTTAAAAGATTACTCTGATTTTAAAAACAAAGCATAAACAAATCGGTCTTTTCTGGCCGTGAAATTGGGGATGTCACATAGCTGCAGTCTGTACGCTACCGGACCAATTCGGGCAAGAATCTTGAAAGGTCCAATGTATCGTGGATTCAATTTTCCCCGTTTTCCAAAACGAATAACCCCTTTCCAGGGAGAAACTTTTAACAACACTCGATCCCCGACCTGAAACTCCAAGGGCTTTCGCCGTTTATCAGCGTAGCTCTTCTTTCAATCGCGTGATGCTTGTAGTCGAGCTCTGATTTGAACTATCTTTATCGTGGTTTCACATATGATCTCCGTTCCTGTTAACGTCTTGTCTAATGCTAGTTCCCCCGCTAGTTGGGTGTCGCCTACCTCAGCCCAACACAACGGTGATCTACACTTACATCCATTCAGTGCCTCGAAAGGAGCAACTTTGATGCTCGAATGGTAACTGTTGTTGTATGAGAATTCAACTAAGGGTAAGTGGGTATCCCAAGACTTCCCAAAGTCTATCACACATGTGCGAAGCATGTCTTCAAGCGTCTGAATGGTTTGTTCGCTTTGACCATCTGTTTGTGGGTGATAAGCAATGCTCATGTCGAGATGGGTTCCCAGTGCTTTATGAAGTGATTGCCAAAAACATGAAGTGGATCTACTATCTCTATCTAAGATGATAGACACTGGCACTCCGTGAAGTCTCACGATTTCTCGAATGTATATTCTTGTCAATCTCTCCATCTTGTAGGATTCTTTTATTGGCAGGAAATGAGCGGATTTCATCAGTCTGTCGACTATTACCCATATAGTGTCCAATCCATCTGACGACTTGGGTAGCTTGGTCACAAAATCCATAGTAATCCTTTCCCATTAAGGTTAGTCCATGCCTAATTTCCATTCCAATGTCATCAATCAAAAGGTCAACAAACCACTTCCATGTTTCTTTACTTTCCATTGCGACTACAACCCAAGCAATAGGGTATATATGGTTGTTTTCATCTCTACCTACAATAGAAAGCAACTGACCTCTACATATGCCCTTTAAGAAGCAACCATCTAGTCCAATTACCCTCCTACAACCTTCAATCCATCCATCCTTTAAACCCTTTAAACAGACATAAAACTTTGAGAAGTAAGTGGTTCCATCAGGCATAACATCTACATCCATCTTCATTGTTGATCCAAGGTTAGTCATTTTTATCTCTTCTCCATACTCCATGTTTTAGCATAATGTTCTTGAAATGCATACTTCCTAGAATTTATGTACTGTCCAACACTTGCAATCAAATTAAATTTCTTGTTGACTTTAGCTTTCAGTTTCCTTATACTCATCTTTGTTTATGAAGTATCTGGTTCATGAAATGATTTCCTATCCATTTATAGGTAACAATGGACCCAAATTTGAAGAATCTTGAGCAATTATGGTTATCATTTAAAGATTTAATCTGGAATGACTTTTCAGAGGACATCCAGGTTACCCACAACCTAAAGGGACAACCTTTATTCTGCTTATTCTTCTTACCTTTACAACACTTTACCAATAACCTTTGACGATCACTTTTTTTACACCATAAATCATACCCATTCTTGACTGCATAGTTGGTGAGACATCGCTTCAATTCTAATGGGTCAGAAAACTTAATACCTACAACTGACACCATTTGATCCCATTCTTGGTTCTCATCATGGACAGGGAACACAACATCATCATCACTTATATGACCTAAAAAGTTTGTTCAAAAATGTGTCCGTAACAGTTTTGTCAAAAGTATAAACCTCTTCATCACATTCATGTTTACATTTCATACTATTAGAAATTTGAAATTTCTGAGTCCTTGTCATCTTCTTCATCCAAGTCATACACATTATCATTTGCTAACATCTCGTTATTAGCCTAATCAAGAATTGGTTCGTATTGGTGGTCAATGTACACATCCAACTCACTCCTAAGAGTATAAATAGATTCCACAAACTCCTAGTAATCAGCATCACTATCGATTCTTTTAATACCCTTAACCAAACTTTCCTTTATAATACAATAGTAAACATTATCATAGCCTCCTTTGGTTAAGCCACAAAAGAAATTCTCTATACTAAAATCCACATCACAAACAATTATTTTTACGGGGTCTAAGTATACCAACGACTTTGGCATAAATATTCCCTTGTAATGAAAATCTACAGCTACATACATACATGTAGATGATTGGGATGCCATGTTACAGTCGACTTCAACTCGTACGTTCAATTCCAAACCCTATTCTTCGATTTGTTGTATCGATTTCTCACAAAGCAGTAATCGCGATGTGTTTTTAGAGCAAAGCAACCTGACGCACCCTAGTTAAATGAGAAAAGGGTGTATTGGCCACGTAAGAATCCACGTAATGCTTTTTAAGTGAGCTAAATCGATGTAAGTGGCTAAAACAGGTGATAGTCGGTAATAATGGTTATTTGTGAACAAACGAAATAAGTTAGTTGGGAAAATGAGTACAAAAATTATTAACTGAATGTGAACATGCTAAAAAGATGATTACCTTGAGTCAATTTCTTTTATATATATATATATATATATATATATATATATATATATATATATATATATATATATATATATATATTCTAAGCCCCCCCCCCCCCCCCCCCCCCCCCTTTTTTTTTCTTAAAAACGTTCTTAGACCATTCCCACTGGTGACTAATTGTCTTTGGTTGGCTATAAATAAAAATGAAAAAGGTATCCAAAAAACAATAATATGACCGACGACGGCTTTGGTGCTTGGTTGACTTATTTCCAATATTTCCATTATTGCCATCTTTATTAATTACCAAACAAGTTTTATAAATCACAAATATGTTTTATTTTGTTGAAAAAAATACATTTAAATTTATAACTTATTTTACTCTACATACAAATAGAGACTAATAATGATGCATTTTTTTTAATATTCATTTTTAGGTTGGTCTAAGTTGTTAATAGAACAAAAGTTTGGGTTTAATTTGGTTGTATAGATAAAAAGAAAGAAATTAATATTTTAATAAATAATTAGGCTGGTTTTGGTTGTGAAGGAGATGACCAAGGTTTGCGACATGGGCCCAAAAGTGGTTTGATATGAGCACAAAACTTTAAAGACATCAGTTTAATTTGTGAGGTGACCGAATAAAAACAAAAAATAAATCATCATTTATTATTTATATTTTTTTTCAATCATGTCATATTTTTAGAAGAAACATTACCTGACATCAAAATATAACTAAATAAAAATAACTATTTGCTTATTTTAGAAATATAGAAAATGATAAAAAATTCTGAAGTTATAATATTATGTGACGGTTAAACTTATTTTGGAAAATTTTATTTTAAAGTTTTGACAATTAAACTTACATTATATATTCTTTGTAAATACATTTGTTTTATTCTATATATTAAATTAAATAAGTTAACTAATAAAACATCCTGAATGGTTTGAAACCCATTGATAATGCTTATCAATTTCAAATAGAAAAAGTTACACAGCCTAAATTTTTTAGAATCCTAAGATTGCTAACTATATATTTAGTAGCTATTATGTTAAAAAAAACTAGACTGATAAAAGCACATTCAATAACAAACATTTACTTTTTAAAGATGGATAAAAGATTGTTTACAAGTGAACTCAACCTGTCTCAAAACACAAAATATAAATATATTAAATATATTTAAATCCAAACAAATATTTCATTCATATGCTACAAGCAACATTCAACCAACAAATTACACTTTCTTGCCTTTATTCTGAATTTTGACTATGAAAGCTCAACGATCTTTGGTCGTTTACTTTTTTTGTCATTTTCAGATGTTGTGTTTTTTGGCTTTTTATCATTAAGAGTTTTGGATTTTGACTTTTTAGTTTCATTATTGTCATCGTCTTCGGAATCACTACAACTGTTGTCATCATCATCACCGCTATCTTCCGATTCCGATTCCGATTCCGATTCTGATTCCGATTCCGATTCCGATTCCGATTCCGATTCGGTACTACTAGCATCAAGGGAGATGACTGGTTGATTACCAAGAATAGCAGATTCAGCTGCAGCAACAGCTTCTGGGGTGTGAAGATCCGCAACACCAAGCATTAGATCCTGTGAGATTAAAGGAATGGAATCTGTCAAAGGAATGGAATGTGAAGAGTAAAGAATGGTTTTTGGTTTTTAGTTTTTACTTTTTACATACCATTTCAATGTATTCTGATTCATCCCCTGTGAGTGCCTCAATATCATAGTTTTTGGAACTCTGTATACAAAAAGTAGACATTTAGTAAGATTTCTAATCACAGAAAAGGAAAGTTTCATAATTCATAGTTTCATACCATAGCATCTAGCTGCAACTTCTTGTTTGACTCTGCCATGACTCCTAAAAAGTCCTTCAACTTTCCCATAACTGAAACAAAAGATAAGAAGATCATGAAGATAAAAATATTAAGTATATATAAAGTATAAACACACGGAAGGATGAAGAGTATAACCTTGGCTAGGTGGAGGAGCTGCAATGGTGGGCTTGGAATTAGGAGGTGCATTCGCTTTAGTTTTTGCAGCTTCTATCTTCTTCAACAGATCATCATCATCTCTTTTGCAAACAAGAAGCGCTGACTCTGCAAATAAATTGTTAGAATGTTGGTTCTTAATAAGCAAATTAAGTTGATATTATGGAAACATACCTTTAGAAGAGGAATTTTTAGTGTCGTTTTCCAAGTCGAGAAGAGCTTGACTGCTGTTACGCCCCATGCTCACTCCCCAAAACGACTACAAGTAGCAGTGTGCGTGTGTTAGAGCTAACTTGACCTAACATATATGAAGAAAAGCAGCCCACAATCAACCATTCGATGATTTTTCGAGTTGCAAAACCATAAATTGCTAAAACGGCAAAACAGAAAGCTAATATATGAAGAGTTTCTAGTCTTCTAGACATCCCAATCGGGAACAGAAAGCTATATGAGGTTGGAAGTGCATTAAATCGCAAACCTAAAAACAGCGAAGGGGTCTGGATGAAAGCGAACCAGAGGGATGAATAAGCCACACTGCAAACCTGTAGTTGTGAGGAGCTAGGACTCTGTCCGATTTGATAAACCTTGAACTCAATGATTTCGATTTCAACAGAAAGCAGGGAAAAAGAAAAGGAAGAACGAAAGCAGGGAAAAAAAAGGATAAACAAAAGCAGAAATTGAAGAACGAACCTGTAGTTGTGGGGTGTTACGTCTCTGTCCGGTGGCTTGACAGGGGCGATGGAATACTGCGGCGGGCAGGGGAGAGCTTGAGGAGCCGACGACGTGAGAAGGGAGGCGTCCGTGTGTTTGCGACTTTGCGTCCTATTTGTTAGAATAAGGTTTATTGGGCAATTCCTAAATATGGCAAAATAAGGGGTTCCACGGTATTTTAAACAATTTTTTTTTATCCAAACATTAATCTTCTTTAATAAATAAAGATTTTTTTTTTCTACATAATATCATATTATAATTTATTTTATCCTATGTAATTTTGTAGTTATTTTAAATTAATGTTTATTCAACTGTTATTTTATAGTTTTTTCATTTTATTAAATTCTAGATAGTATTTAAATGCAATAATAAATATATATCAATTTCATTAATAAACTTTCCTTCAAATTTCAAAATTACTAAACTAAAGATTCATTAATTAATTAATTTATTTATTTAAATTATTTGTTTAAATTTAAAAGAGAAAAAAAAACACACTTTATTTTTTATAATTCAAAGTTTTCCCACTTATCTTATAAATTCATACTTCTCAAATGTTTAGAATTTTGTATTTAGTTTTTCTTTAAAATCAACCTATGTAATACATGGATCTCACACCTAGTTTTAGTTTATACATTATGGATAAAAAGAGATAAGAGTCGGATGAAAGCAAGAGATGTTAAATGGTGAAAGAGAAAGAGGCCATAACAAAGTATAAAGGGTTTTTGTGTTGGATAACAGGGTAATAGCAATGTTTTAAAACCTGGTTTCTAATAGGGTAAAAGTAATGTTTTAAAACCTAGTTTTTAGTTGATCCAGTATGACAACCTATCTCGGGTCAATTAGTTCATCTTGCACAAACACAACATAAGCTAGTCTTATTTCAGCGAGAGAGAAAAAAAAACACTAAGAGAGTATGAGAAATTAGCTATGAGAAACCACTTGGGTTGTGGTGACTTGGTAAGGTATGTGGAAGATATGGTGGATAACCTATTGATCCATGTTCAAATCCTGGCACCACTCAGCCCTTGTGGCCATGGAGGTTCGCCTGCAGTGACTCCAGGGCATGAGACAAAGCTTTATGTTTGCAGCGGGGGATTAGTCAGTGCGCAAAAGCTGGTCCGGAAACCCTCGTTAGGGAAGTTCCCTTTCCAAAAAAAAAATTAGCTATGAGAAGTCATTAATTGGACTCGAAATTAACAAGAAAACCGGTGTATGGGAATGAAGATTAAACATTTATTGGGTCTATGAACTCTAAATTGGTGTGGGAAAAATCGAAATCAGCAAAAATCCAGCGGTGAACTAATCAAGATTGAAGATGAAGCCGGTGTCTAATGAAGTTGAGATTGTCTTTTGTTTCAAATCGGTTTTGGTGGCCAAGTCAAGAGTCCAGTTTTGAAGCCCAAGCCCCCAAGTCCAATTTTTTGGTTTATACCCACCGGGATTTTAGTGGTTATTGTTCACTGGTTCAAAAGAGTTCTTGAGAAACCCGGCCAATTCATTATTAGTCATGAATAGGCAAAAAAAAAAATCGGTCATAACTCTTCACAGGTTACACTCAAACCGGTTCGACCGCTGAGCTTTAAAACATTGGGTAAAAGGGTTTTTGTGTCAACGTCTTTTTTTTCTATTAAAATCATTTACACTCATGTGGGGGTCATTGACAAGCTTTGAATGGATTTAAATATTTGGTAAAAAAACTCTAGAATCAAATAAAATGTTTTGTTCGAGTATACGAGTTTAAAGTTTTTATTTTAAAGAAAAGATTATCTATATTCCAAAAACTATTTCAACTAAACAAAAGTTCTTTACTTTCCTATCACATTTCAAAGTCCCCGTTCATTTTTTGCACTAGTCATTACAAATGGCATCGTACTTACTCAACATTCTTCTCAATAAATTAGTAAACTACCATTCCCTTGAACAAATTTTATACGATCGCAACCCCTCCTACCAACTTCTACAAGTACACAATTGTCGTTGTTATTGCCTACTTCCTTCCACTCCCATTAACAAACTTCAACCCTGCTCTACACGTGTATCTCCCAGCAATCCCCAAACCATCGGGGCTATAAATGATATAATGTTATTGTCAAGAAAATAATCATCTCGTGACATGTGATTTTTGATGAAACAAAATTCTCTTTTCCATCAACTAATCCCCCTTCAATGAATCCTATAGTTTTCTCACCCAAAACCATTTCCGTTTTACCCTTACACTACTCAAACAACCCCTTCATCACCTCCTATTACTAGTTCGCTTTCATCCCAACAATTTGGCCCATTGAAAGCCCAAACAACCCCCAATTTATCACCACCCGAATAGCCCAACCCAATCCACAACTCCTAATATCCCGACATAAAGTCACTATCATTCATACCCGTAGCATGTCTGAAATTTCTAAACTAGAAACATTGTTCAATCTTAATACTTCCACTTCTAATTCTCATCTTCCTCTAAATTCTACAAGGGCCCTTTTTCTGATCCTCGTTGAAAAAATGTCATGACCCACGAATTTATTGCTTTAATTGAAAATAAACCATGGGCCTTGTCCCACGAACATTGGGCATGCAAGTTATGCATTCCATGAGGATTTTTTGCCATAAAATGAAATCCGATGACACTTTTGAATGTTGCAAAGCACGATTTGTTGGCAATGGTCACTCACAACAAACTCAACAAACTGGGATTGATTCTAATAAAACGTTTAGTTTTGTTGTTAAACCAACAACTATATGAATTGTCCTTAGCTTTGTTGTGTCCAAATCTTGTTTAATTCAACAACTTGATGTCAAAAATGTGATCCTCCTAAGTAATCTTAGTGAAATGCTTCACATGCATCAACCCTTGGGCTTTTGGGACTTTGTTCATTTGAATTATGTTTTTTTGTTGAAAAATTCTCTATACAGTCTAAAACAAGCTCCAAAGTGCTTAGTTGCAATGTTTTTAGGACTATGTATCAACCATTAGTTTCGTTCCTAGCAAATACGACAATTCCTTATTCATTTATCGGTGTGGTGCCAACTTTTGCTTATCTACTTTTATTTTGTTGATAGTAATATTTCAACGTCTTCTCATAAGCTTCGACAATCCTTCATGGCTCTTCTTGCTATAGAATTCGCGATGAAAGACCTTATACTATAAATTTGACTATCAACTACCAAATTTTAAACTCATTAATTTCAAAGATGAACAAAATTGATACAAATTGGAAGTCAGTTCTTCATCATCATCATCACAAACACCGCAACCACAATCACCGCCAAACAAGTCAACAAACCATTGATTATTGTATAGACCCTTATTGTCTAGATTAGTGGTTTCTTGCGATTTGGGGTGGTGGGTGATATTTTTAATTTTTAATTATTAGTATATATAAATAGCTAAAAAGAAAATTTAAAAAAAAAAAAAAGGACAATATGACCTTGCAACAAACCAATAAAGGCCAATTTCCGCATAACTGAAACAATATTACAAGTAATATTTGAGTCGCTTTGAGGGATTTCCACTATGAAAGCTCAACAATCTTGGGTCGCTTTCTTTTTTGGTCATTTTCATTTTTCTGTTTATCATTTAGAGACTTGGATTTTTGCCTTCATACCCTTATTAGTTTCTTAATCCCCTGAATCACTGCTATCTTTCAATTCCGATTGTGATTCCAATTCCGATTCCGAATCTGATTCCGACCAAGAATGGCAGATTCAGCTGCAATATTCACCAACAAAGTCTCAGCAGCAGCAGACATAGTGTGAAAGTTTCAATTCCAATGTGGGCCCCTTCTGCCAAGCTACCTAGCAGACCACTGTGTATCTGCTTTACATCTCACATGATCCTTCTAGGACAATGTGGGCCACCTACTTTTCTTCCTTTTTGTCATCATAAGGAAGCCACTGAATATCCTGTTCACAGAAAGATAATTTTTTTTAAAAGAAACATGGATAAAATAGTAACGAAATATAAAAATATGTATCCGTGTGAAATGTCTAAAATACCCCTATTAAGCGCATACCATGTAACATAGGCTCTGCGAAAGTTGAATTGCATCCTCCCACTTGTTAGCTTTCACAAGACCTTTAACAAGGTTAACAAAAACACTCAATTCGGGAACACCACCTCTACCAATCATATCTCCATATAACTCAAAAGCTTTCTCAACCCTATTTGAAACCGAAAGACTCTCAATCAAAGAAGAATACAAATCTTTATCCATAAAGGAAGATAACTCACTCATCTCTTTAACCAATTCCAAAGCCAATTCCATTTTTCCAGCCTTTCTATACCCATCAACCAAAAGTTTATAAACCGGAATAACCGGAATGGAATCATACTCACTTACACCCTCCAAAACCCCAAGATTCATCAAAAACTCCCAATTAAACCCTTCAATAACCTTACTATAACTCTCCATATGCATGGGCCAATACGTCATTTTCATCTCCTCCAAGAGCCCTAGAGCTTCATCCAACAACCCAAAAGCACAACAATGGTGGATTAAAACACTATACGTGACATAATTAGGCGCACAACTTTTCATCCCCATTTCTTTAAAAATTTCAAGACTTTTTTCCACTTTCCCAATTTTTCCAAATCCATCTATCATTGAGGTGTAAGTTACAACATTCGGTTTACACCCTTTTGTCTCCATCATCTCCATGAGTTTATAAGCTTCGTCTGTCTTTCCAACTTTACATAATCCATCTACCATTGTTGTGTAGATTATAACATTAGGAGGACATGAATTTTCAAGCATTTTGGATAAAATCCGTGTAGCAAGATCCAATTTTTTGTCTTTAAACATCTTATCAATCATTGATCCATAAGTAAAGACATTTGGATTGTACCCTTGTTCACACATTCTTGAATAAACTTCTTCTGCTTCTTCTAACTTTCCGTTTTTTAGTAACCCATCAATAAGTCCATCATACACGATATTATTAGGCTCACAACCTTCAAAAGTCATCACATTTATAAGTTCACGTGCTTCTTTGACTTTATTTGCTTTACACAACCCATCCACCAAAGCTCCATATGTCACAACATTTGGCTCCAAAGTTTCGATCTTTTCACCTCTAAAGTGAAAACCCACATCAGAATTTTCTTTTTCTTTAACATTTGGCTCCAAAGTTTTAATCTTTTCAACTCTAAACTGAAAACCCACATCAGAATTTTCTTTTTCTTTAATACCCTTCATTCTTGAGTAAATTTGCAACGCCTTTTCAACTTTACCAGCTTTACAATGACCATCTATTAGAGCTGTGATTGTGACAATGTTTGGAGAACAATCACATGACACCATCATTTCAAATAACTCATTGGCATCTGATATCTTTTTAGCTTTAAGATATGCATGTATAAGAACTGTATATGTTACCACATTTGGAGAACAACCATTTGTAATCATTTCATCAAACCATTTTCGACCCTGAGGAATTAACCCCGCTTTACAAAAACTATCAATCAAAATCGTGTAAGTATGAACATTTGGAACAACCCCATTCTTTTTCATTTCTTTAAACAACCAAAACGCCTTCTCTAATTTGGAAGCATTACACAAAAAACTAATTACATTCGAATACGTACTTTCATCAGGTACAAAACCTTTGGTCATCATTTCACGAATCACATTATAAGCTTTCTCAAATTTCCCAACCTCACAAAGGCATCGAGCATAATTGCTAACATTAACTTTATTCAACACAAAACCACATTCAAGCATTTGACCATAAGCCATTTCAGCTAATTCTAACCTATCTACACTTGGGATCTCACTTGTTCCACAAATTGAACCAATAAATATGTTAAAGATTACAAGATTAGGTCGAACACCGTATTTTCCCGTTTCTTTAAGCAACTTATGTGCATAAGCAAAGTCTCCTGATTTACAATAAGCATGAACAAGAGAATTATATATTTTAGGACTCGGGTAACACCCTTCAGCAATCATCATGCTAAGAACTCGCTTACATCTTCCCAATTTTCCTTTATTCAAACACCCACAAAGCAAAGTCCTATATGTTAACACATTAGGGATGCAAGAATCACATCTCATTCGGTTTAGAAACTCCATAGCCTCTTCGAATGAAGAACCTTCACATAACCCACCTATCATTCTAGTGTATAATGTAGTATCAGGAGCAAACTTTTCCTTATCTATCATATCAAGAGCCTCCCTCCATTTTCCAAATTTACATAAAGAATATGCAAAAGAACCTAATGTATGTGGATCCATTTTATAACCAGCATCAGCCATTTCACTGTAAACAAGATTAGCAGAATCCAGTTTATTTGCCTCAAGAAATACTTGAATTAAAGCATTGTAGGTCACTCTAGAAGGTTTGTGACCAAAATCTTTAAGCCTGGCTAGCTCTTCAAGTGCTGAATTCCATGAACCGTTTTGACAGTACTTACGGATCAATACATTAAGGAGTTTTCCAAGCACTTCTTTATCGTCATCATCTCTAATTTCCCTAAGAAAATGATCGGGTATTCTATCAGCATTGTTACATCCTATTATGTCTAATAAAGCTTCGTAAACAGGTAATGTGTGATTATACCCAATTTGTCTACCTACCCATATGAAAAACTTCACAGCTAATTCAGCATTTTGAAGTAATTTTAACACATCAATCACAAGCGATTCACTCAGTTTCTCTCTGAACTTACTAAGAAATTTATGGTTTTTATCACCGAAATCCCTGTTATTATCTCTAATTGCTTTACAAATAATATGCGCGTCTGAATACTTACGGGATTCGAACTTTTCCACAGACAACGAACGCTGCAAAATTGCAACTTCTTCTTCCAAATTGACCGAAACTCCAGAATCCTTGTGAGGATGCGAACTGATTTCTGGGGGATTGAAATTTGAATCGATCAATCCCTCCAATTGATCAGGAGAGGAAGTGCTGATGGATTTGTTGAAGGTGTTATAAACTGAACTTTGGCGGGAAACCTTCGATGAAGTGGGATTTGCTATTAGAGAAATTAAACGAGCAAATGAGGAAAACCGTTGCTTTGATTGATGGAGGTTAATCTTTACCCAGTTTCTGCTCATTCTAAGCATTTGAAATTTTGAACTCTAGGGATTTAGGGTTTATAACGATGCCTTGTCATTTACACCGGAAGTTTTTCCCCATTTTAGTCCTAAAAATATTCCTGTTAAACGTATGAAATAATTTCAAGACAAAGTTACATAAATGGTCCCGATGGTTTGATAAAATAGATATATAGTGCTGTTTCAAGAAAATAGACAAACTCAGTCCTTATGATTTGTTGATATTACATAAATGGCCCTTCCAATACACGGCATCAAAAAAAATATTTTTATGTTTTTGCAAAATGACATTTTACCATTTTTTTCTTTTTCATATTTCATATATTTATTATTAATTACTTCTTAAACTGTAGGGACCATCTATGTAACTTATATTTCATTTACTAATTTTGTGATATATTTATTTCCATCGAATCCGCCAACAAAGAAATCTAGGGTTTTTTTCCTCCGTGTGTTCTCTTCTTCGAATATCATAGATTGTTTTTCTATTGCAGATAAATGTCGTCGTTATGTTAGAGACCTCGTACGTTGATTCAAGCTATGATATCCTAATGTCCACTTAAGGAAAATAAATTTCAGTCCATATTTTCTGATATCACCATGAAAACTTAGGTTCTTTTATTGTTTTCCTTATATGTGATCCTTTTTTCTCCTTGTTTTTAGAAGGATTTTCATCTTATGTTTACATGTATGTTTTCTTGTGTGTAGGAGGTCGTTTTTTTAGTTTGAATCACCAGTCACCACATTTCCACTATCCATTGTAATTGAATCTTGTTCTTTGCCTATCCCAACTTCCCCTCCCCCCCCCCCCCCCCCACACACACACATACCAATCGACGTCAGTTGAACTCGTAATGATATCAAAACTGATTTTAGGTCTTTCAAATTAAGTAGGAGTGTCAAGGATGATTCAAGAACATCTCATGGTTATGGAAATTTCAAAGGTTCGGGTAGCAGCTTTTCTGGTGGCGACACCGGTTCAGGCGATGGAGGAAATGGATTTGGCGTTGGTCCTAGTAAAACTCCAAACAAGAACTAAAGATGAATGTGTAACTTAGAATAAAGATGGTTTATCACCATTAATGCTCAAAGGGATTTATTTTATTTTCCCAACTCCGACAACAGATCTTCAAACATGGTTGATTATTTTTTTCAAGTTCTTATGATAAATTACATAAATGGTATTGCAGTTTAGGAAGTAATAATAAAACTATAACAGCCCAAAAACCACAATAAAAGTTTTCATTTAAAAAACCATCACATAAGAACAATGTCAAATCATCAGAGTACAATATCAAAAAGTACAGAAAATAGTGAGGAGAGAATGATGTGCCATCATGCCAAACCCTTCCCCTTAATACCGGAAGTACCTAAAACCAAAAATATAAATTGTAAGCAAAAACTTAGTGAGTTTCCACAAGTACCACAAACTAAACATAAATAAGTTAGTGTTATGGTCCAAACCATAATCTTACAAGTAATTTCCTGCCGAGGGCCAAATCTCGGTCTTCCATACAGTTGTCATGTGTCAGATCCTGGTCTTTCATACAGTTGCCAGGGGCCATATCCTGGTCTTTCATACAATTGCAAGGGGTCAAATCCTGGTCTTTCATACACATATCACAAATATAGCTAGCATCCTATATATCACAGATAATGGACTGGCCTTGGTGCCTTCGACCCATTGGTACAGTGAGAAAACTCGCCTTAGTCCACTGATAAATAACTAAATGATTGGCTACCAAACCGAAAGATCCCACACTAAACACAAACAAATCATCCTAATCAAGCTATAAACCATAATCGTGGGTCGAAATCCTAAATCCAGACCCCTAAGATAAAACCCTTCCTATAATGGGCCTAACCAAACTTGGCCCAATAACACAATAACGGACCCTAAGGCCCAACTCGTGCAACTTAAGGCCCATTAACGAAATCCTAAGGCCCACCCATGCATCAAATAGTCCAAGGCTCACAACCTAACTAAGGTCCAAAAGTCCAAAGCCCAACTAAAGACTAAAAGCCCAAGGAAAGCCTCTGCGAGGCGTATGCTGGGCGTATGCGTTGTACGCTTGGCGTACTTAACTACCCACCAATATGCATAGTGTACCCCTTGGTACGTGTAACGCCCGTAGATCAGGAATAATCAATTTAGAGACAATAAGCGTCAAAAAAAATGACTTTTTGATAGAAGATTATTTAGGATGAATAAACCTAACTAAGTTGTAGTATATGTTACAAGGCTTCCGTGCATATAAAGAACGCCAAAATCCGAGTTATAACGAAGAAGTTATGACTTGTTAAAGTTTCGCGACAGGACCGGCACAACGTTGAATGACGTAAAAAGTGAATTTACGTTAGAGTGATATTTAGCCTTAGCGATCTAAACGAGAATCGAAGATCTCGTTGTTAGTAGCGAAACGACGAAAAGTTAGGCAAGAATGGACGTCGGACGAAGAAGTTATGAATTTATAACGAAATTTTATATCCCGACCTATTAAAAATAAATAATAAAAATAAAAGTCAAAATTAGCCGACGGAGTCTAAACGAAAGTCGAAGAGCGTAGTCTCACCTACGCGTGGATATAAAGAACATCGAAAACGGAGTTTGTATGAAGAAGATATGAATTTTCGAAGTTTATTAATTAATTAATAATTAAATTTAATTATTAAATCCCGGTATTATCCGAAGGCGAGTCATCGGACTCATCCGAAGTACGCCCCGCGTACGAGTGTACGCCCCGCGTGCAGCGAAACATGACGACCTTCGCACTCGAATTCTTCAGATGACGCATGCAGTGACGAATTCGGACGCGTACGCCCTGCGTACTCCGAGACTCCTGCCTCTTATAAATAGGATGTGAGGGCAACTGGTTCTTTTGTTCATTTTCTCTCTTCTCTCTCCCGTTTTACATCGATTTGCTTGCCAGAAATACCCCGAAGCCCCGGTATTATTCTCGAGCCCCGAAGCAAGTCCCAAGATCCCGAGAAGTGCGGTTCCCGAGCCGAAGCTCTGCCCGCGAGAAGTTCGATTTTTGTGGAGATCTTCCAGATCTACCGAAGAATACTACTTCTGCAAGTCGTAGTGCTGTCCGATCATCTTCTGATCAAGTGAGTGTATACTACCTTTCATAAACACGATAATAATACAAGTATGGTTTGAGTGTGTTAAGTTTATTGTTGTTTATATGTGTGAGTGTATACTACCTTTCATAAACACGATAATAATACAAGTATGGTTTGAGTGTATTAAGTTTATTGTTGTTTATATGTGTGAGTGTGTAGTTACTTTCTTCTAAAAACCGGAACCGGTGTTCAGAACCGGAACCACTTTTATGACCAGAACCGGTTTTTGTGAAACATTTAAAAGATGCATATCTCATTCGTTTCAACTCCGATTGACATGCGGTTTTTTCCAACATGTAGTTTAGAGTTTGTACATGACTTTAGACTATAAATTTGTCATTTTTAGTTTTATATTCATTGACTTACTATCTCCCAAAGTGGAGATATCAAAGTTGGAAGTTTTTAGTTTTTCAGTTTTTTTTGTATTCGGTGAAAGTTTTAAAACATGCATATCTAATTCGTTTGAATTCGGATTGACATGTGACTTTTTCCAACTTGTAGTTTACAGTTTGTACATGAGTTTAGACTATAATTTTGTCATTTTGGTTTAACATTCAATGATTTATGGTCCTCTGAAGTCGGGATATCAAAACTAAATTTTTTTCAATTTTTCAGCTATTTGTTTTGGTACTTTGTATTATGTGAAAATGTTAACACATGCATATCTCATTCATTTAAAGTCGGATTGACATGTGGTTTTTTTCCGGAATGTATTTTAGAGTTTGTACATGCTTTTAGACTATAATTTTGTTAATTTTGGTTTCACATTCAATGAGTTACAGTCCCCCAAATTCGGGATATCAATATGAAAATTTTCAAAGTTCAACCCACTAAGTAGTAAGTAATTACCAAAAAATTCCGGTTTTTCCGGTTCTAAACCCACTTTATCCGGTTCTAACCTACCCACTTTGATGTTTCCGGGTTTTTCGGTTCTAGACCCACTTTACCCGGAATCGAACCGGAACCGGTTCCTATATACCGGTCCGGTTTCCGGTTCTACAAAATCCCGTTAACTGGTTCCGAGTTTTCCGGGTCCGGATCCATCCGGTTCGGGTTTGGACCCACTTTCATCCCTAGTGTGGACCCAATTCTTTCATTTTTCATTTTTAGTTAATAAATTATTAAAGAAAATATAAAAAATACAAAAAAGGAAATAAGAAGGGCAAAACAGTTTTTTCAAGTCCTTCATGGACTAAAATCAAACGAAATTCTTGATTTTGGACCTGTCATGAAAGTTGAAAACTTTTTGGATCCTATCCAAAGTTTCAGACTGTATTTTAGAGTTTGTACATGCTTTTAGACTATAATTTTGTTAATTTTGGTTTCACATTCAATGAGTTACAGTCCCCCAAATTCGGGATATCAATATGAAAATTTTCAAAGTTCAACCCACTAAGTAGTAAGTAATTACCAAAAAATTCTGGTTTTTCCGGGTTTTTGGTTATAAACCCACTTTATCCGGTTCCAACCTACCCACTTTGATGTTTCCGGGTTTTTCGGTTTTAGACCCACTTTACCCGGAACCATATCCGGAATCGAACCGGAACTGGATCCTATATACCGGTCCGGTTCTACAAAATCCCGTTAACTGGTTCCGAATTTTCCGGGTCCGGATCCATCCGATCCGGGTTTGGACCCACTTTCATCCCTAGTGTGGACCCAATTCTTTCATTTTTCATTTTTAGTTAATAAATTATTAAAGAAAATATAAAAAAATACAAAAATGGAAATAAGAAGGGCAAACCAGTTTTTTCAAGTCCTTCATGAACTAAAATCAAAAGAAATTCTTGATTTTGGACCTTCATGAAAGTTGAAAACTTTTTGGATCATATCTAAAGTTTTTTGAATACCACGTGATCAAATGTATAGTTTTGTCAAAATAAAATAATAAGTTTTTTTTTTTTTTTTTTTTTTTTTTAATTTAATCCAAAAAAACTGTTTTATAATACTAAATCTTTTTTTTTTCTTACATATTCCTGTCGAGACCTACGATGCATGCTAAAATCATGGTGTTGTAAACTCAAAGCAAAAGACGGAACACAAGTGTTGGCATTGTGGTGGGAGAGAAGAAAGCACAACAATTCGAAGCAACCGGATCCCAATTCTCTTGATTTTTCATAATTCAGCCCCATTAGACCCCTTGCGCAATCCATCTGCATAGTCTTCTTCGTTCTCTGGAGAACTTAGGGAACTGGATTATGTATTTTTCTCCTAAATTCCAGCGTTTAAGGTACAATTCATTTGATTCATTTCAGGCGTCCCCAGTTGCAATCCGGCAACCCGATCAGTCAGATCTAAGGGTATCCATGCCTCCTCGATGTCCCTTATGTCGCGAGATCATAAAATTGAGGTCCTTTTAATGTTTCACGATTGAATTTATTTGATTTATCGTGCGATGAAACTCAAATTCGCTATAAGGTTGCATGATCCGAGCTGCGGAGTGCGAAATTGAAGTTTACCTAATCGTAGGAAATTTTGGTTTTAAGAGGTTATGCAGTTACATAAATGTATCCATTGTGCACAACAAGCGTACACGTCTCCGATTGAGGATTTTGAGTAATTGATCCATCCATGGTGATTTGGTTTGAAATTTAGAGGAAAAGGACATAAAAGTTAGGGAGATTCAGTATTATGAAAAACGGGATGATAGAGATACAGTGCAGCGTCTGTCATTCCAAATTGGTGTCCACGAAGGCTGTCTCAAGGGCTTATGATAGACACCGGAGCAAGATCTCCAAGAAACACAGAGCACTCAATGTTCTCTTGGTTGTTGGTGACTGTATGTTAGTTGGTTTACAGGTGAGTTCTCTTCATATGATGATCTATATCCCATATCTTGAAGTAGCATAAACTAATCACTGTATCACTCTTTCATCATTTCATCTTCTTGTTATAGCCAATATTGGTGTATATCTCCAAGGTGGATGGGAAGTTCAAGTTTAGCCCCATCAGTGTCAACTTCTTGACTGAAATAGCAAAGGTTATTTTTGCATTGGTTATGCTTCTAATCCAGGTAAATTGCTCCTTTTCATTGATTTTCCTCCTGAAAAAACCTTTTTATAGAACACAAATTGCTGAATATTGTTGATTTTCAGGCTAGAAATCAGAAGATAGGAGAAAAACCACTTCTTTCATTCTCCACTTTTGTACAATCAGCCCGCAACAACATGCTTCTTGCTGTTCCAGCACTTCTTTATGCTATCAATAACTACTTAAAGTTCATCATGCAGGTTTTTTTTATATGTTTGAAATAATAGCAATAATCAACAACTTTATATCCAGATAACCTAAAATTTTCTTTTGTAGCTCTATTTCAATCCAGCAACTGTAAAGATGCTGAGCAATCTAAAGGTAATTGCTACTCTAAACATATCTTTAACACTCTATATCCATTCATTGTTTCTCTTGTTTGATTCTTTCATGTTTCATCAACTGAAATTTGCAGGTTTTGGTAATTGCAATTTTGTTGAAGATAATAATGAAGCGCCAATTTTCCATTATTCAGGTTTGTTAAGAGATTCAACTTACATATATATCAGAAAACATATGATATTAGTTTTTAGTACAAATGTTTTTTTTAGTGGGAGGCTCTTGCTCTATTGCTTATTGGAATCAGCATAAATCAAATGCAAGCTTTACCTGAAGGAAGTAGTAGAATGGGTGTGCCACTTGAAATGGGTGCATATATCTACACATTCATTTTTGTAAGTTGTATTTTTTTTTAGCATTATTTATCTAATTATATACATCTACAAAAACATTAATTAATTTAAGATATGTTATAGGTGACTGTTCCTTCTTTGGCTTCTGTCTTCAATGAATATGCACTGAAAAGTCAATATGACACAAGCATATACCTTCAGGTGATTTCAATATTATATCAGTTAAAATTTCTTTATATTTTGTGTTGTAATTTTATACCCTTTATTGTTGGATTACAGAATTTGTTTTTGTATGGATATGGTGCTATATTCAATTTTCTTGGGATACTTGGAACAGCTGTTATCAAAGGTAATTTAAGAAAATTAGTAAAGGGTAATTTAGTCTTTGAACAACAAAAGAATGGGAGTGAAAGCTTATGCAAAAAAATTAATTTATTATTTTTTTAGGCCCTGAAAGCTTTGATATTTTGCATGGACATTCAAAAGCTACAATGCTTTTGATTATAAACAATGCAGGGCAAGGAATTTTATCCTCATTTTTCTTCAAATATGCAGGTAAAGTAAAATAAATAAATTATATTTCTAGCAAAAAAACCCAAAATATAATTTATTTATTTATTTTTTGTTTGTGTGATGCAGATACAATTTTAAAAAAATATTCATCAACTGTTGCTACAATCTTCACAGGCTTTGCATCTGCTGCTTTGTTTGGTCATACTTTGACTATAAATTTCATGCTTGGAATTTCTATTGTTTTCATTTCAATGCACCAGGTATGTGGATTCCGATGGAATTGGAATTGGAGATTCCATTCCTTTCAAAAACATTCTACCAACTTTTGCTTCTTTTTCTACATTCAGTTCTTTTCCCCTATTTCAAAAGTTAAGGAAGAAACCAGAGTGATGGAATTGGAACCTGTTAAAACCGACAACAGGTACTATTAAGTTAATAATATTTATAAATTATATTTAATTTAATCTTATATATTGATTTATGAGAACTTATAAATAATCTGTGACAGGTCAAGAGACTTGAATTTCATTAATATGACAGCAGGTGCTAACGAGGAGGTGAAGATGCTTTTTTTTTTTTTTTTTTTTTTAAATAAATAATTTTGAGTGCTTATATATAAAATCTGTAGCACTTGTTTTACTTTTTTTATTTTTTTCAGGCTAGTCATCGTGTAGATTCTGATGCAAGACAACCACTTCTTCCTACTTAAGTCAACAGTTGACTTTTGAAATGAAAGAAGATAATTCGAATAAAAATATGAGTTATTTGGTTTATGAGGTTTAATGTAATTTGGTTAGTAGATTATTGATGATATAACTTATAAGTATAAGTTGTGTTTTTGAAGGTGAAAAAGAGATTAGATAAAGAAGAGAAGAGAATATAAAAATTGGATGTGTTTTTGGAATATGATACCATTATTACATATATACACGTGTTATTATTTTGTATTGATTAGCACATTAAGTATATACAATAATTTTCAATTCTCGATGAGATCATGATCTTTGTGATGTATAGGTTATACATTCATAGAACATATCAGAAAGATGATCACTAGTGTTCATTTTAACTGTGATTATAAGTTTTATAACTAATTTTTATAATTGTTTTTGTGGACATATATTGGGGGGTTAGTCTTGTGGTTATCAATAATATAAAGTCAGGTTATGTGAAGAAGCATCTGGTGTTTGACCTAAACATAAGGACTTGTGTATGTCGAAGTTGGCAGTTGACTTATTGGTCCTCTTAACGGTATTTCTATGTGGCCAATTGTTGACTATCACAACTTTTGCCAAAAAAAGAAGATTGTCCATTAGACCATCAAGACTAGGATACAAAACCACTCGTCTTTTGAAGATGAATATAGATCATTTATTTTAGAGCATTTATAAACCATTTAAGATGACATATCATCAAAAATCACTATAGACGGTTGTATCGGTTTTTTTAGATGATCTGAAAAAGTTCAATGGTAAATAACATACAAAACTAAATGTGTACAATTACAAAAGTTCTTTACCTTACAATTTAGGGAAATAGACTTACCATGGTAATTACTTTTTCGTTTTGTTCATATTTAGGTAACTTTTTTTTGGTATACATTTATGTAATGAACTTGTTGGCAGTGTTCACATATACTATTATGACCGACTGTAGCAAGTTACAACCGGTCATAATGGTTATACGTGAACACTTCTGATAAGTCTGTTACCTAGATGTGTATAAAAAAAGAAGTTATCCAAATGTGAACAAACTGAAAATGTAATTACCTTGGTAAGTCTATTTCACATATGTAAACACTTCCAACAAATTCATTATCTAGATACACAAAAAAAGTTATCCAAATATGAAAGAAACAAAAAAATAATTACCCCGATAAATCTATTTCCCTACAATTTATGACCCTTTTACATACTAATAACATGCTTCAAATTTGTTATTCATAATAACATACTTATTCTTTTACCAATAATATCAAACATATAAAATCTTAAACTTGCAAACATTTAAAAAATTTAAAAAGTTTGAGGTTGTATATGGTTAATTCCATGATCATCAAAATCGTAATCCTGATTGTATGATGCTACGATCCTATGTATAAAAAACGAGTCATATAGTATTTTGGATAGGGTCGTCTAGATCCTACCTTTCATTTTTTTTTTTGAAAGTTTTTATAATTTTTGAATATTGGTTTGTGACTTAGTAATATTTTAAAGTTTTTATAATTTTTGAAAAAAAATTAAATATTTAAAATATTTTTTATATTTAAAAAGAGCCTTGGTTAAATATAAAAAGCATAAATATAAGTAAAATTAGGTTGCTATTCCCGCGATTTGCCCAAAAATGAACACGATGAACAGAAACAAGAACAACACTAACAGCAGCAAATTGAACTCCGTCTTCTACGCACAGACCTATCATCCAATCCAAGCCGGTAGCATCGATGGCACCGACATTCTTCCTCACGATAACGCCGTCTACAGAGCTCTCCTGTGTTCTTCCGCCGGCCTCTGTATGCATCTTCCTCTTTTACTTGAAATTTCATCCTTAAATCTCCTTCTTTCACTCAACTCCTTAATCTCTCGCAGATGATCCGTTCGGTGATCCAAATGTCATCGGTGAAGATCCTTATTGCACCCTTTTCGTCGGCCACCTCTCTCAATTCACCACCGAAGATACTCTTCGCAAGGTTTGATTTTGCCCTAGCTGTTATCACTCAATCCAAAATTCATCATGTAGTAGGTGTAGGTTACACAATCGCAAAACCTGGCTTATGAAATGTGCTTGTTTATCAATGATTTCTGATGACCTACCTTGTTGACAACTGTTCTGTTCATTTTCGTTGTTGGAAACTGAATTCCATAAGCAGAAAAATAGTTAGAAACAAAATCTTATCCTATCAGTCAATTAAAATATACACTGCCTGATCAGAGAACAAACATCCTATTAGAAACAATCACACAGAGAACAAGATAATAAGAACCAAATTTAACTTTATCTGTACATAAGAACAAGATAATAAGAACCAAATTTAAGTGTCATTCATACTGTCCAAATCCGTTGTTAGTAGAAGGATGAATCTCCATGCTTCAAATGATCTTCCCCAATCTTGTTATTCATGTGAGATTTTGATACACCTGAGCGTATTGAATATATATATATATATTTTTTTTCTTTTATAGGCTATGAGCAAATATGGCACAGTGAAGAACTTGCGATTGGTCAGACATATTGGTAACACATACAAATTTTAATTAAGTGCCATGTAAGCTTCATAAGAGTTGCATATGTGATGATATTAGCTTCTTGTTTACAGTTACAGGTGCCTCTCAAGGTTATGCTTTTGTTGAATTCGAAAGTGAAAGAGAAATGCAAAGAGCATATGAGGTAACAATTAACATACTCATTGGATTCTGATTCATTACTTAAAACACAATACCACAAATAAACCTACAAAACAAAGGAATAAAATCCGCAATTGAAAGATCTTTTTTCTCATTTTTTCATGTGCAGAAGGCGCATCATTCAGTTATTGATGATTCTGAAATCATAGTTGATTATAACAGGCAGCAACTAATGCCAGGGTGGATTCCAAGAAGATTAGGTCAGTAGTAATGAGTTCAATTCTTGCTGCCCGAATTTAATATGATAATTTTAGTTCCTATTCTCTCAGGAGGAGGTCTTGGAGGTAAGAAAGAATCCGGGCAGCTTCGATTTGGGGGTAGAGAAAGACCTTTTCGTGCTCCATTGTATGCAATTCTCAACTATAACCTAATTGGTTGATAACTATAATAGTAATTCATTTCTTTATTTTTTTGTGCATAAAGGCGTCCGATTCCATTGGATGATTTGAAGAGGCTTGGGATTCCACCTCCCCCTGAAGGTCATTACATGTCAAGATTTGAGGTAATGTTTTTCTCAATGTTGCAATTATATGAAAACATTATGTGATGATGATTGGAATTTGAAGGTTCCATCACCACCTCGAAAGAAAAGAACAAGTGTAGATAGAGATAGGGAAGAGAGGCATAGAAAAAGTTATGAGAGAAGAAGATCGAGTAGTAGGGATCACATATATGAGGAAACCAAAGAGGGATATGGATCCAAGAAGAGGAGTAACTATAGCCATGAACATGAAAGAAGATCTAGTAGTAGAAACTATGAGTATGATGAAAGAGATTCACATAAACATGATAGATCATCAACATCAACATCAACATCAATAGGTTATGATCATCATCATCATCGATCTGATAAAAGGCGTTCTCGTTCTGGTGATAGGGAACACCGGTCCCACAAGCGCCATAGACACAACGAGTAAGTTTTTTCTTTGAAAATGGAAGTTATGATTATATGTGTTGATTCTTAATGTTGCTAATTACAAGACTACGTTAACAAATGCTTATTATTATTAACTAGAAATTGCCTCTCTGTGTTTCGGGGGGAACGCAGACTATGTTTTGTTTATTATGTTCTAGTCACACAAAAGGAAAGTGCTACTATTCATCATTTTATTATTTATATTTCTGAGGGGACCAAACTTGTCGACATATGAAAGTCTAGGGATTAAACCTGCAAACATGACAATATACAAAAGTTAAAGAGGGTACAAATTGCCACTGTAAAAATTTGTGGGGGGTAAAAGTGACATTTTACAAATTAAAGGGGGGGGGGTGGAAAATGTCATTCTACAAAGTAAGGAGGTGGAACGTGTCATTCTATAAAGTAAGGGGTGGAAATTGTCAATGTACAAAAGTCAAGGGACCAAATCTCCCAAAATAAGAAATTTTATGGCAAATAAGAAAGTAGATTTGTAGAGAAATTATGAAATAAGAAATTTTTGTGGTCAAATTAAGAAAACATAAAAATATACTATTCATAAGGAAGTTGGTTTTTATTATATATAATAGGGATAATAAATTAAGAGAGTAAGGTACTTTAACTTTTGATTATTAAATTATTTTTCGTTCTTTATTAACCATTGAACTTGTTGAAACGTATACATTATATCAGTATGACTGGAAATAGTGGGTTTTGCCGGTTTTCGATGTTGTTTTTGGCCAAACATTAGTTTTCTAGTCATCTTCTCCGGTCAAACTTGATTTTCCGACGTTATTTCCGACGACATCTCCGATTGATCAGCGGCCAAAAACACGAAAATACTTAGATTTGTGTGTTTTTTCCTTAGGATGTGATTATGTTTTCTGATGTTTTTGCTCACCAATCTTTTGAACTCAGAAATCATGTTCATCCCTTCGACCCAAAAATTCTTCAATCCAGAAATCATTCAACCACTTCAACCTAGAAAATGAGTTTCAGAGTCGAGCTAGATAAAATCATCAATCAAGTTTTGAAGAACATATCCATGGTAGATTTGAAATCCATTTTCCAAAAAGAACAAACTCATCATTTTTTGAAGATCATAAATCAAGTTTTGAAGAACACATCCATTACAGATCTGAAATACATTTTCCAAGAATAAACAAACTCATCGTTTTTTGAAAAAACCCATATCTAAAATCCATTTTTGAGAAGGAAGTTTTAAAGAACTCAAGTTTGTTCATCAGAAATCCAAAAATCCCAAAGCTCGAGTTTTTGTATGAACTCCATTTCATATTTGAGTTCGTGTGTGTGTGTGTGTGTTTAGATTTGAGTTATGAGTTTATAAATCGAAACAAAATATGCCATAAATCGAAATGAACCCAGAAGTATGTTTTCTGAACATGAACCCAAATCTACATATGTGTATGATTTTGTTTTTTTTTTTTCTAGATCTGCAATGGATGATTTGCTTGGGGATGTTTTTAGAATTTTGGGGTTTTATTTTTCAAAAAACCGAAGTTTTGCTTAAGAAATTCTATCAAATTTTCTTAAGAACACCGTAACCAGAAGTTGAAGTTGATGAACAATGATATGATATGATATGTATGTATGTATGTATGTATGTATGTATGTATGTATCTGTGTTCATCACAAATCTGTGATTTGATGTACGTTTTGGAGTTCATGAAAAAAGAGGAGAGAATAGACTGGAGTTCTTGACTATTTTGGGTATTCATAGAGTTGTCGTCGGAAATAACACCAGAAAATCGAGTTTGACCGGAAAACTCATGTTTAGCCGGAAACAACGCCGCAAAACCGGCAAAACCAACTATCACCGGTTGTACTGGTATAATGTACACATTTCAACAATTCAAAAGTTAATAAATCACGAAAAATAATTTAGTGACGAAATGTATCCAAAAGTTGAAATAATTTATCCCTATATAATAATAATAAATTTCGGTACAAATCGTAAACACATTATAGCATTTGAACCTTTAGTGAAAGTGATCAATTAAACATATATGTAAAATGAAATAATTTTATTATTTTAATATTGTTAATTTGTTTTCCGGTTTTATATATAAAAAACCAAAGCGAGCCAAAAAAAAATTAGTTTTTTTTTGTTCTATTTGATTTTTTGCTTTCCTCTATCTTTTCTATTTCGTTGCATACTCAAAACTAATAACGGGGGCATTATTCCCCACTTTCCCAAAAGTGTTTAGTACTTCTTGCAGCAACAATATGTGCACGTAACCTTTAAAAAGTTATAGGGCCCGATATGAATAAAATTATTTGGTTATCCGTAGAATACAAGCAAGATTTTCCATTCTTTTGACGTGTTATTATTCGTTTGTTCAAAACACTTACTTTTAGATGTTAAAGAAAGTGAATTGTTGAAGATGGAGGTGACCTACATCGATCAAATCATTAAAAACGACTAACACAATGATTAAAAGATGGCTTTGCCAATTTTAGGGGATCAACTTTTTGAGTTTAAGTTATACAAGTTAGTGAGAAACCCATCATTCTTACGTAAATACAAAAGTTTATAACGGAAAATTCACTTCTATTTTACCCTAATTCATATACAGCTCTATCCCTTGGACCCCGTAAGGAGCTGCCGCCACTTGGACCCTGTTCCCAAGGGCTTTGCCCCTAGATCCCTGTTAGTTAAGGAGCTTCATTCCTAAATAACAGTATTTGTAGTAAAAGGTTTACAATAAAAGAGAGCAGAATCCTTTCTCCACTAGTAAAGATGATTATAATCAAGTTAGTCTTGAGCATTGTGGCTATAAAAAATTTGTATCCGAAGACAAGGCAACTTTCTTACAAGATAATATCGATGAATACATCTATTTGTCACACCCTAAGGGATTTAGATAGCTTGAAAAGATAATTGTTGTGCAAATTAAAGAAACGTCTTTATGGATTGAAACAAACATCAAGATAACAATATTTGAAGTTTGACATGTTTACCTTTGAGAAATGAATAAACAAGATGTAAATGAGCCATTGTTTCTACCTAAAGAAATTTAGTTCTTATATAAATTGTTTTTATACATTTGTACTGGACCATAAATGAAGAAAACCATACATGAAGAAAATAAATAGATTAAAGATGTATTTTTATCTAGATTTTAAGATGAAATATTTTGGTCATGCGAGACAAATACTTACAAAATATGCATATCATAGATAGAGTATGATGTACTCTAAAATTATCATATGATCATAGTTACATTACAAAAGTTTTAGAGAAATTTAGTATGAAAGATGAAAAAGTCGAAATTACAACTTTGGAAAGTCATCTAAAACTTACAAACAAATAATCACCAGCGAAATATGAAGACAAAGAGGTTGTTAGAAATCTGCGTTGATTTCTGTTGGTGCTTTGGGATTAAAGGCACTTTTCTGAGATCGTGTTTAATATATCCAAATCAACGTATTTGGGTGGTACTCTCAAATCTTTAATTGGATAATATTTAAAAGTTTGAGAACAAGAAAAAAGAATGAGAAGTATTTTTTTGTACATTATGTTCTTCAATGTGTTGTACCATCATCTATGAAGAGTTCGACTAAAAATTTGCTTAAATATGTCACAATTTTGAAAACCGTCACAAGACAGTTCCGCCGTTCAAAAAATTGATATAAAACGGACATTTAACCACAAGATAAAACCACAACCGACGGGTGTCCACCAACAGTCAAACCTGACATAGAACAGATATAACACATAACAACATGTGTTCTGACGCGAGCTTGTTGTGATGCATTGTTGCGATCAATGTTGTAAAAATCGGCCTACTCGGCTAAGTTCTCGGAATCGGCCCTCCACCGAGACGAGTTTTGTTAACTCGGCAAAAAAACTCGGATTAAGTCAATCTCGGTACAAAATCGATCAACCTCGATAAAAAATCAGTCAATATCTCTCTAACTCGGGCCTACTTAGTCTTACTCGAGCATACTTGGTCAAACTCGGCCAACTCGGTCTAACTCGGTCAAACTTGGTCAAAGGGTCAAAATTGTTATAAAAAGAGAAAAAAATCAAGAATTTCAAGATTATTATGTATTATTCACTTAATGATTTATTATTTAACACACACATGTGATTATATATATATATATATATATATATATATATATATATATATATATATATATATATATATATATATATATATATATTCAGTAATTATCAACGAATAAAGACAATTGTGTGTATTTCAGGTTTTATGTATTAACATGTATTTAATTTTGTTATATATTTCAATCAAATTATAATTTTAACTTATGATTTTGACATATAAAATTTTCTTAAAAATATTTCTATACGAATTACCGAATCCAAGTACTCCCCGAGTACTCGCTACTCGGTAGTCGGCCGAGCAGGTACCGAGTAGTGAGTTCTGCAACCTTGGTTGCGATGTGTGCTCGTTGTGAGACATTCCGATATGGGTCGTTCCAGTGCGATCACAAGTGAACAGTAACATGCAATCCAATTTGAATGTTCCGATTGCGATCGATCGCAAGTGAACAGTAACCCCTTTCGTTACGATATCAGTCCCAATTATGAACTTAGTTTCGGTCCGAGACCAACTTCATTCCGAAATCATTTTCGGTCTTATACCAACTTCATTCCGAGATCAAATTTCGAGATCAATTTCGGTCCAATATCAGTTCCATTCCGAAATCAATTTTCCACGGGTGTCCACCAACAGTCAAACCTGACACAAAATAGTTGTTTTAACCATTGGATATAACACAAAACAACACGAGCTTGTTGTGATGCATTGTTGCGATGCGTGCTCATTGCGACACATTCCGATATGGGTCATTCCGATGTGATCACAAGTGAATAGTAACATGAAATCCGATGCGAATGTTTTGATCCCTTGCGTTCCAACGAGTAGCAATCGATCGCAAGTGAACAGTAACCACTTTCGTTACGATATTAGTTCCAGTTACGAACTCAGTTACGGTCCGAGACCAACTTCATTCTGAAATCATTTTCCGTCTGGTACCAACTTCATTCTGAGATCAATTTCGGTCCAATATCAGT